TTATCTTAATTTAAAAAAACTATCGGACTAAAGTTAAGTATATATTTCAAATAATATTTTAAAACAATAATTTACCAAAGAAAAACCATAAAAAAAGTATTTCAATATTTTGCAGATCCACCTTTCTTAAATAAGGATTGAAGAAGGCAATTATCTAAAATTTCAATGTTTCTATCAGCATTAAGTCAACCTTAAAATAATTAATAGCATTTAAGTCCTGCATAATTCATGTAGGCCCAAAAGTCTACACTGCCATTACCTTGCTCGGTTGGTTTTCATGTACAATTCAAATCAAATTACTCTTGAGGTGATCGCCATAGCAGAACACTAAGCAATAACATATTCTTGCATATCTACCTCAACATTCAACATTCAATATTTGCATATCTACCTCAACTTGGTTCATCTAGCAAATTAATTTTATTAATTAAAAACGTTTATCTCATTGTGTTGCCCACCAGATTATCCAGATCCATAATGTCATCTGGTTCAGTATAAGGTTTTCAAATATGTGAATATTCAACTTATTGGCTATTTGACGAGGAGATAATACTTGGTTTTAAATAAAAATAGATTTGTAACATGTTTTTTCAGAGAATCTCAACCATGATTTTAGAGTTTCATGCTGTTTTACTTCATTCGTTATGAGGCTTTTTCAATATCTAATTTCTTTGTGTTTTCATCAGTACTATTTCAAAATTAGAAATTTAGAGTTAGAGAAATGCTAATGAAAATCAAATTAAATTATTAAAAAAAATGTTACATTAATTTTAAAAATAAAGCAGTAAGCATTAATTTTTAACGAACAAAAAAAATTTCAAAAAATATAGTCGATGTTACAAAGTTACATATAATTAGGGATAAAAACGAAATTTTATGGTAACAACTTGTCCATTAAATAAAAAACACGATACTTATTAATTAGAAATAATAAAATATTTAAAAAGCTAACTAGTTTTTAAAGTAATTTTAAGTAAACAGGATATATAAGTAAGAATGCTCTAATTTATGGTGTATGTTTCATATATTTATATATATATATATATATATATATATATATATATATATATATATATATATATATATATATATATATATATAAAAATATATATATATATATATATATATATATATATATATATATATATATATATATATATATATATATATATATATATATACTGTATTGTATTACATAGTATACTATGCTTGGACATATATTATTATTTTTAATATTTTATTATTTTTCAGAGTTTGATTTGTATGCATTAATTGTGTTTGCATACAATTGTTGTAATCGTATTGTTATATAATATGAACACAAATTAATTGGATACAAATTGTATATAATATATAGTTAAATGATTATGATATATTATAAAAACTATATTTTATAGTTTATATTACCTATATTATAAAAACAAATATAAATCAAATGTTATATAAACTATGTAACATAATACATTTATATTTAACTTGTATATAAATATTTTATCTTACATACTTTTTAAGTAACTTGTGAACTTTTTAGTCTTTTTTTTTTGCATTTATAGTATAGTCATTCACATATAATTATATATTATAATTTATATTATAATCATTCACATAAAATTATATATATATATATATATATATATATATATATATATATATATATATATATATATATATATATATATATATATATATATATATATATATATTAGCTATATACCTTAATATAAATGTATCATACATCTACAAAAGTAGTGTTGGGTGAATTCTATTTTTGTTCAGAAAAAAATTGAATACTCAGAACTGAAAACAATTTCAAATCAAAATATGAATATTCGAAATAAAAAAGTAAAAATTATTAAATTGTATCGCTCAGATTTTTAGAAAAACAGTTTTGAAAATGTAAACAAATCACGCTTTTAACAGTTAGATAAATGTAGGTACGTGGACTGATTTTTTTTAATTGAACATATACTAGAATGTTATATATCATTAGAAAGCCCTTCAAAAATGTATTTTAATAGTTAAAAAATTATTAAAAACAAACAATTTAAAAAAAAGTTATGACGTTTTTAGTAGCAAATTTTCAATATTTGGATTTCTTGAAGAAACTGGTTCCAAAATTAATTTTTTTTTCACTGAAATTGTTATAACTTTGTCAAATCTTTTCCAAATGCCTATACCTTGGTATCAAAAGATAGATGTAATAGTAGGCTACAAGTTCATATAGCTCTATAGATAAAAGGGGTGTCTAGAGGGCCAGAGGGGGTAACGGAACACCATCGAAACATTAAAAAAATGCAAGTTTTTCACACGAAAGAGTATTTTGCTGATAAAATTTGTCATCTTTATACACAAAAAGTTGTTCTAATTTGCTTCCATTACTTTTCCAAATATTATTGGTCTATTTTAGATTAAAGGGTGGATGTATTTGTTACGTTTTAACACCCTTGTAGTGAAATGTTACCATCTTATAAATATTTGAGCCTAAAAAACACTGATTATATTTTGTGTTAAAGACTTTAAATTATATTTTTTAACTTAACAGAATATACAAGTGGTGCATAAATTGACATTAGGGGCGGAACGATGCCAAGCTTAACGCCCCTCCCTCCCCCTTCCTCTTAGTCTTCTCCAACCTAAAAAAAAATTTTAAAAGATATTTAAAAAATGGTTTTAAACTGATTTTATTTAAAAAGAGAAATTAGTATTTAAGATTATTTTACCATGTTAGTGAGGGGAGGGGTGTGTGCCACGCCCAACATCCCCCCCCCCCACCTCTTTTTATTTAAACTTTAAAAAAATGTTAATAAAAATTTCAAAAATGTCTTTAAATTGTGTAAAAAGCGAGATATAACTTTAATAATCTTACCACATTACAAGATGCAGGTTGGAGTATCAACCCTAAAAATTAACCACAGTTTTAAAACTTATATTTTATAAAGTTTTAAAATACAAATTATAGAATTTATGTCTTGGCTTTTAGTAAATGATATTATAGGAGGATGATAGGCCCAGCTGAATGACTCACCATCATTCCCTCCTAACCGGACCCACCGCAAAAATGATCGATTACTCATCGGTCCAGAGTGCTGGTCCCTATATCTTCTATAGGCACCATAGGTAAGCTCTAAAAGACAATAAATTGTAACTACATTAGTATTGAATGGTAAAAATTAACAAATAATACAAACCAATTATTTGATTGGCTGCATTAATAAAATTAACAAATAATAAATCAATGATAGCTTAAAAAATGTTAAAAAAAAAAAAAAAATCAAATACTGCTCTGGGTTTTTACTTCTACTGCACTTTGAAGGATAACATAATATAAATGTACTAATTTGTGAATATAAATAAAAATATAATGAATTAAATAATCATTCAGCAACATTTCTAAATCATAAATTTACCAGCAGAAGGTTGTGTTGATTGTTGTGGAGGTTGTGGGACTAAAGGTAAAATTTTTTAAAAATAAAAATATAACTTACTTGCTATCGATAAGATATGCATGCACATATTAGAAAAAATACTTTTACACATGTAAATTATGCATACACATATTAGAAAATAATAGTTTATAAACGTACCACTTGTAGCAGCTGAAGATGTAACTAAAGGTTAACAAAGTTGAAATAAAAATAAATATTGTGATTGCTAAGAAATGCATAAACATATGAAAAAGGTAAAATTTTGTAAACATACCAATTATTCCAGATGTAGATGGAACTAAGTTAAAAAATAAGTGTAATAAAAAATTAATATTGCAATTGATCCGAAATACATACATACATGAACAGGCTTTTTGAAGGATGCAATAAAAATATTTTTAAGCTTACCACTCAATGCAATTGAGGATGGAACTAGAGCTAAAAATTTTTAATAAAAAATTAATTTGCAATGTTCAAGAAATGCAAAAATTAAAAATTAATAATTGCTAAACTTACCACTAATTGCAGATGAAGATGTTGCTAAAGGTAAAAAAAGTAATAAAAAAAATAAATTTTGCAATTGACGATTTTGAAATTGGTATTAAATCTATTTACAGATTAAAAAGTACTAGCTTTTAAAATAACTAACCGTAGCAACTGATAAAAGGAATGAAGATCAAAAATAATATAAATTAAACCAAGATATACATTCTTATATTTGATAATCTAGTTATCCTATACAAACTTACCTGTGGTAGGTTACAAACTTAGCTGTGGTAGGCTGGGTAGATTGAACTAAAAATAACAAAAAAAAGTGTATAATTACAACAAAACACTATGAAATTATGAAAGAATCATAGTTATGTGGAAGATGCAACAACTGTATTAACATAATGAAAACTTACAGTGAAAATGTAAAGAAAATATATTAATAAACAACAAGCTAACATTAGGAATGGTTATTCACTTTGTTTATATATTAATTACATTATATTGGTTGTGGTTATATATAAAATATGTGATTTATACTTACGATATCTCAAAAAAGCTTCATAATGTGCAGCAGGATCTAAACAACATGTAAACATTAGGCATGCTTGTATTATGATTTAAATAATAATCTAAAGATAAAGAAGTATACAATCCAAAAATAATAAAAGATGATAATAAGATGATAAGTTTTATTATATTTTAAAAATGCTAACAAGATTTTTGCAAGTAATAAACCAATGAATTATCTGATTTGTATGTTGTGTCATAATAAAATTGACAACAGATACTAATAGTTAACAATACATTCAAAAGCAAAGTTTTAAATTGAAGCATTAATCTTCTTTTTAATGTAACATATAAAAACAGATTAAGAATTAATCTGTTTTTATAATATAAAAACAGATAAATTATAGTTACATAAAAAAGAATTTTAAATAAGAAAATATTAACAAATGATATATAAATATTTTTTTGATTTAAAATAGTTATTATTGATATTATTATAAAAGAAATTAAACTTACTATCTGTTATAGATCTAACAACATCTCTGTTAGTATTCATTATTTATTTTAATCTAAAAATAAAATTCAAAATAATACGATATTGGGATTTGTTATGTTTTTGTATAGTCGGCCCCCCTATCCACACCCGTAACAAGCTTAACGAAAAAAAACAACAGAAAAACCAAAATTATGTACCAAAAGTCTAACACCTAGTATACTATCTGCTACCAATTATTTTTCGTTGATTTTTGGCAGGTGCTTAGAAAATGCATGTAAAATATAGAAAAACTAACAAAAAAAGCCGGCTCAACATTCCTTCGACATTAAATTCATGTGAGAACAGGGACAATATTTTCATGCAATATTGTCGGCAAAATAATAAATAAAAATGTTGGGTAACCATGCATAAAAGTCATATAAAAATTTAGATCTACCTTTCTTCTTTATGAAAATAATTTATGTTTATGCATGTTTCTTAAAACAAACACAAAAAAAAACGTTTACCTAAGGCTACCTAAAATAAGTGGTATAAGTAATACAATACATTTTAAACTATCTGCTACCAATTATTTTTCGTTGAAATTTGACATGCCCATAGAAAATGCATGTAGAAATATGTCTGAATAAAAAAAAAAGCCGGCTCAACATTTCTTCTACTACAAATTCATGTGAGAACACCAACCAAATATTCAGAAGCAAAATAATCGATAAAAAAGTGTAATAACTATGCATAAATTTCTTAAATAAAGCAAGATTAGCTTTTCTTCTTTTCAAAAAGTATCTATGTGTATATCTGTTTCTAAAACGAAATTCCACAAAACTACGTCTGCCTCACGCTGCCTTAAGAAAGACTGAAAAAAACGAGAACCAAAATTTTAGCACAAAAATCGGTTCCGTAAATCGCGATATCCGCGTACCTAGATAAATGTAGCAGAGAATCACAGTTTTTTATATATTTAAACATCTTTATATTGTTTTTATCATTTTTGAATCAACAATTCAATTATCTTTATTATTATTTCATTCTATCAAAAATATGCAAATAATAACTACTAAGTAAAACTTTAAAAATATTGTTGCTACTCAGAAAAAATTTTGGTATCTAAAGGCCGTCACCATCTTTAAAATTATAATATTTGAATTTGACACTGCGCTTGCGTTCAATAACTTTCCACATCTAAACGACCGTGAGTTATGATACTTTTTAGCATTATAAAAACTTTAAATTAATGGGTATATATATACCCATTAATTTAAAGTTTTTGGGTATATATATACCCATTAATTTAAAGTTTTTGGGTAAATATATACCCATTAATTTAAAGTTTTTGGGTATATATATACCCATTAATTTAAAGTTTTTGGGTATATATATATATAGCCATTAATTTAAAGTTTTTATAATGCTATAAAGTATCATAACAAAACATTAAATAATTTAGCGACCGCAATTGAGAAAAAAACATTTTTATTTGACATTAGAATATATATTCTAATGTCAAATAAAAATGTTTTGACGTAATTAGAGGTTGGAAACGAAAATACCCCAAAATAGTTTACTATTCTATACTAAGTCAATGACGTATATTAAATGTTTTTAATCATTGTAATATCTCTATACGATTGTATTAAATTTAAATTTATCAATAGGTTTTAACTTTTATCTAATAGTCTGTTTTTAAATTTAGTGTTTAAAAGATTTTAAAACCCTTTCATTTTGGCAAAGGTGTAAAATTCACAGTCATATCTTTCGAAAGCTAAAAAATTATGAAATTTAAGACTCGATGTATTGAATGACGATGAATTGTCGATAATTTCGATTAGATAAAAAATTAAAACATTTTATAAAACTTACTACCCTCACATTTGGGGTTGCAAACCATTTTATGTATTATTTAACCCCATGCTTAAAATAATGCAATTATTTGCTTTAATACGAGAAGTAAATGAGCTAAAATAGTTTTAAATAAAATAATTTTTTATTAGTCAATGATGGAGTAGATGGAGTTATGAATAATTAATAACTTAATTATTTACTCAAAATTAAACCTTTTTAAGGTGAAATTTAAGGTACTTGAAATTTTTTTTCCATATATCTAAATAAATAACTAATACTATGATTGGTACTACGTTGGAGGTAATACAACTCATAATGCCATAGATAGGTTTTATTTAAAACCTATCTATGGCATTATAAATTGTTTTTGTTTTTTTAATTAATTTCATATATAAAATATATATTAGTCAACTTTTTTCTCAATTAATGTTTAGCTAACAAATTAGATTCAGTTTAGAAATCAGGTTTTTTCTTGTTTTACTATCTAATTATAACGATAATGAATATAAAAAAGGTCATAAGGTTATTAATAATTTACTAGAACCATAAATAAAACTTTGAAATGAATTGAATTTATTATACCGTTGAGAATTAATTTGATTAACAAATACAGTAAATTTATCAAAAAAAAAGTAATTTTTTTTCACTGAATTTTTAATAATACTTTGTCGCAATTAGGTTAACGTATTAGAGCCGTAACGAGTTAGAGCCCGTCGTTAGCTAATGAGGTAATCATGTCTCGTTGTTTTTACCTATATCTTTACGCTTAATTAATCCTCTAGTAAAATATCATAGGATCTTCCCTCCATCGCCGTACGTACATGTTACTTTGAATGATCCGCTTCCTTCTTCGTACGTATAATTTATAACAAAGTTAATCCCGCAATAACTTTTTAAAACATTAAAAGCAAAAAAAATCATAAAAGCAATAACTTTTTAAAACATCAAAAGCAAAAAATTTTTTTTAGTTAATCCAACATTTCTCTGTTACATAACATAAACTTGATTTTTTAAAGTTTGTGAAATTTAATACTTTAGTTAAAAATATAAGAAATCAAACGTTAAGAGAGATAGAGAACGAGAGATTCAAAACGCCTACGTACTTACTGCCTGTAGCATCCTTCTCTCCCGCCCCCCCCGCCCCATCTTAAACACATTCATATGTTTTTAAGAGAACTCGTTTGTTTTTTTATTAGGCAAAACTGTAAGGCATTTGTAAACTAAAATATTGTTCTTTGCCGATAGCTATAAAAGTTAATGGTGAAAATGTAGATAATCATTAAAAAAAAAAAAAAAAAAAAAAACCCAAGTGTATTAAATAAAATTTTTGCTTCTGTAGCTACAGATTATTGAGATTAATGTTATTGAGAACAAAAATATAATATACCCGAAATGTTTTGAGATAATCTTGGTTCTACGTAGATATTACCAATATTATCTCAAAACATTTCGGATATTTTTGTTCTCAATAACAGCTGCTTTAAACGTTTTTAAAGTATTATTTACAGACTTTGAAAGTATAGCCTTTAAAATGTTTAAATATCATAAAGCAATAAGTCCTGACAATCTAAATGGAAATACATTCATTAATTTATACATTGCATCAGGCTTTCGTAAAATATGGGTCGCGACCCCAAATGGGGTTGCGTAGCAAAATTCTGGAGTTGCGAGAGATATGGTTTTAAAAATTAAAATTTGAATTGAAAGGATGTAAAATAGTTTTTCCCTTTTTTAGAATTATTTCCTTTTAATACGTTCGCAAAATAAATCATTACGCAAAAACGTTAAGATTTTACAAACGTCTTCATCATAGATTTATATGTGTAAAAGTAACCATAAAACTTTTTTTTCCTTTTAAGAAAGGAGGCGTGTTTTTGTTTAAAGGGAATTTTTCAGCAATAAATTTCTTTTTCTTTCTTATTCAAAAATTTGTTAAGTTGGTGCGATTCGAGTTTTATTTATGAGCACAAATTATGTTTATAAACAAAGTTCATTTAATACGAAAAAAAGAAACTAAGGTGTGATTGTATTAAAAAATTTAAACTGTTATATGTCGTATTATAACGTCATATGAAGTTTCATACTATATTGCTAAAAATCAAAAGCCGTTCACCATCGGAGAAGATCTTGTATTACCTGCTGCTATTAAAATGGTAGAAATACTACATGGAAGTAAGTATGGAGATGATATTTTAAAAGATTTCTTTGTCGAACGAAACTGTCGGGAATAGAATTTCTGTTATTAACAAGGACCAATTAGTACAACTAATTATAAGAATTAAATAAAGCCCAAAATTTTCAATTCAGTTGGGCAAAACAACGTATATTATTAAATTGGTTCAGTTGTTAAGTACTTTTATAAAGAAAATCTGGAGGAAGAATTGTTATTTTGTCGTCCTATGGAAGACCGTACTACCTGGTGGGCATTTGTTCCTAAAAGTTACGTTCTTATTAAAGTTAAATATCTTTTAAATGTGTTATAAACGTCTTCTAATTTTTTTAATTTTTTTTCAAAAGGACTTCTTTTTTTTTTTTAAGAAAATTTTAGATATTTAAAACATTTTTTTTAAAATTGACATTTGTGCCCTCCCCCCGCCTTCGTAACCCGTGTCGTCGGACCTGCCAGAATTGAACGATGTGCTTCAGTATGCTGTTAAGATTATAAATTTTATCATGAGCCATGCTCTAAACAGCCAGTTATTTTTAAATCTCTGTAAAGTAATATCCGAAATGTTTTGAGATAATATTGGTAATATCTACGTAGAACCAAGATTATCTCAAAACATTTCGGGTATATTATATTTTTGTTCTCAATAACATTAATCTCAATAATCTGTAGCTACAGAAGCAAAAATTTTATTTAATACACTTGGGTTTTTTTTTTTTTTTTTTTTTTTAATGATTATCTACATTTTCACCATTAACTTTTATAGCTATCGGCAAAGAACAATATTTTAGTTTACAAATGCCTTATAGTTTTGCCTAATAAAAAAACAAACGAGTTCTCTTAAAAACATATGAATGTGTTTAAGATGGGGCGGGGGGGGCGGGAGAGAAGGATGCTACAGGCAGTAAGTACGTAGGCGTTTTGAATCTCTCGTTCTCTATCTCTCTTAACGTTTGATTTCTTATATTTTTAACTAAAGTATTAAATTTCACAAACTTTAAAAAATCAAGTTTATGTTATGTAACAGAGAAATGTTGGATTAACTAAAAAAAATTTTTTGCTTTTGATGTTTTAAAAAGTTATTGCTTTTATGATTTTTTTTGCTTTTAATGTTTTAAAAAGTTATTGCGGGATTAACTTTGTTATAAATTATACGTACGAAGAAGGAAGCGGATCATTCAAAGTAACATGTACGTACGGCGATGGAGGGAAGATCCTATGATATTTTACTAGAGGATTAATTAAGCGTAAAGATATAGGTAAAAACAACGAGACATGATTACCTCATTAGCTAACGACGGGCTCTAACTCATTACGGCT